GGGGGGGCAATAGCCCCCATCCATCCACCCACCCACCTGTGCACGACACCGTAATATATTTGTTCAATGTTGAGTACATGTATCTTGTAATATCATTTATATCATATAATCACATAGATACGATGTATTATTTGAAATTATTATTATTATTTGATAAATATGCCATTATAATGATATTCATAATATGCAATACCGACAGAAGTATTTATTTATCAATTGTAGTCGCAAGGTCTATTGTACCGGATTCACACTAAGTCAACCTTTGAAATGTTAGGGCGGGCTCTCGTGCTAATTGCACATGGACTCCTCCCATGGTACGTTATCGTGGGGCACTGCCGGCCATGCGTGCACTGAAGTGGTTGACCTACATAGGGATATGTTGTTTTGATGTGACCTTCATAGGGATATGTATAGGCATGTAGGTGGACAAAATTGGACGGTAAAAGATCTAGACTTGCGATGCAAGAAAATGGTATATCTCTGGAATATTCTAATCTATCACATTGTAATTTAATCACCACTGTGTACACACATCTGTATTTTAACAGGAACTTGCAGCGGCGGCGGCTTTCCTTTTGGTGTTTGGTCCCTTGGCCACCTCTTTGTAATGTTGGTGGTGCCTCATGTGTTTGTGTGAGACCGGGAGCTTTTTTTAGGTTAGGATTTTGAATGTGTGTATCTTCCAACATGGATGACCTCAAAGGTTTCGTTTCTCGAATGCTGGTCAGACATACCTTGATGACTTTTCGTCTGCAATCAGTTCAAGTCAAAAAAGGCAATCAGACCTCAAATGTTGTATTCTTTTTTTCTTTATTATGAGAGTCGGTTTCGTCGCCTCCCTCCTTTAGAGTTTTTTCGTCCACCACCACCCCGTCCTTGTTTTACTGTTGGTTTTTTGGTAAGCACAATCAATGGCCCACAAAAAACCCAACATAAATCTTGAAATAATCTATGGTCTGTCTAGGACACATCTAGATGTGACATAGTTATGTCACATCTAAGCTGATGTCCACTCTGTTTGTGGTCTTTTTTTTGTCCTAGTTTTTTTTGTTTCTTGTTGCTGCATTATACAATATATTTGTGGGAGTTTAGATGTGACATCCTTAAAAAACATCTAGATGTGAATTAGACAAACTGATAATCTAAACCAAATCGATGCTTTCCAAAAACCACGTCATTCATTGACTCAATCGAATCAAATCAATATTTCATACCGTAATCTCAACTAAATGAAACTTTACTTGTCTTTCCGTACCCATGCTCAAATCAAAATTAAATGTTACTCCGACAAGATTTATGTTGAACCACAAGATCCGGGCTTGTTGCTAGTTTTACAAAATGTGCAGGTTTAATTGTTCAATAGATAGATCCGGTAAAAGGAATAACTTTGGTTGGGTCGTAACTATATTTTGAGTTTTACGTACATGTTTAAAAGTTGAGATAAGAATTACGATCTGATCTGCTGCATACAATCTCTATCTCTACATGACTCTTGAAAATAGGGACACATACCCATAAGTAAAACACGCGCATGCATGCACCTTGCGATTTGCCGCACATAAACATCCATCTACGAGCTAGCGGCGGCCGTCTCCTTCGTCGACGTCAACATACGGGCTCTCCAGTTATGTCGATCTCCGCTGCTGCCTTTTCCGCCCTGCGAGGCGCCGGCCGGCAGCAGCTCTCCGCTTCAAGCATCGCCGCAAGGCAGGCGACCGGCTCCCACATGTTCCAGATCGACGGGCAACTCAGGAAGATGGCGGCCAACGGCGCTAAGGTTAGATCAGGCACGTTCCGCGTCGGCGGCCACGAGTGGCGTCTCGTATGCTACCCAAACGGCAACGGGAAGGAGTACGAGGGGTACATGTCCCTCTTCCTCGAGCATGCCAGCCACGAGAGAACCGGCGATGCCACAGCCAAGGCCCAACTGAGCATACTCGACCAGGCCTGGAAGCCGAGCTACACTCGAGACATAGCCAAGAGCCGCTTCTTCTCGGGTAACCTCAGCTGGGGCACGCGGGGCTTCCTGAAACACCAGGATCTGGATGCGCTAGCGAGGAAGCATCTCAATCTCAAGGACGACGGCCTGACCATCCTGTGCGACGTCACGGTCACCGTCACCGAGCTGCGTACTGAAGACCACGTCGAGGCTGCCGCACCGGTGGCGCTTCCGTTCGGATTGCCCGGGCAACTCGGGGAAGCTGTCTGGAACACGAAGGGGGTGGACGTGCACATCGAGGTCGGCGGGGAGACGCTCCCCGCGCACCGGGGGATACTCGAGGCCGGGTCACCCGTCTTCAAGGCGGACCTCTCGCTCGCCTCGCCCACCGCCGGAGACAGCAGCAACACCGCCTTACTACTGCGCGTCGAGGACATGGACGCGGAGGTTTTCAAGGCCCTGCTCCAGTTCATCTACACGGACTCACCTCCCGTGATCCTGTCGGCGTCGATGGCGGAGAGGCTGCTCGTCGCGGCGGACAGGTACAAGCTGGAAGAGTTGAAGCTCGTCTGCGAGGACGCATTGTGCTGGCACATCGACATGAGCTCCGTGGCTGTCAGTCTAGCGTTGGCGGAGAAGCATGATTGCTCCGCTCTGAGGGCGGCATGCATCCAGTTCCTCTCTTGTCCGGGGAACCTGGAATCGTTCATGGCATCGGATGGGTTTGAGAAGATAAGGACGTGTTGTCCCTGTCCCTCTGCTCTCATGGACCTTGTCCTCAAGAAGATTACTAAAGTATAGGAGGAGCAACTAATTAAGGGTTAGGAATCGTCTACCACCTAAGCTAGATATGCGAAGTGATGTACGTCGATTAGATTGTCTCGGGTAGAGTAGAGGCTTGATTCAATGAGCTATAGTCTGCGTGTCTCGTGCTGCAAACTCTATTTTTTACACAGTAAACTCTATTTTTTTCCCTGTTATAAATGATTGTTAATTCTTACTCTTATCGATTTTTTTTCGTTCAATCTTCCATCCATCAGATTGTCTAGCTACCGACTCCTGTTAACCCCCAAGAGTAAAATTCCAACTAGTGATAACTATTTGTGGCATAGGAGCACCCAAAAAACCGCTAATGAAAAAGGAAAAAGTCTGAAAGTGAAAATCACACATGGTTGTATTGGCAAGTTAAGGGATCACAGCACCCCACCCCTCCCGAGAGAGGAACACGGCTAATTGAGGGGCAGTCGCGCCCCGGGCTAGGGACGAGATTGTTTTTCTTCATTTTCGGCCAAGTTTTCATGTTTACCTATTTTTTTACCTGAAATTTCATTTTAGGCAGTTTTAGAAATTATTGTACTACCTTTCGGAAAATCTTGGTTGAGCTTCCAATATTTGAAACTTTGGGGGGGTTCGAAACTTCACAATTTTAAAATTTTATAACTTCAACTTTTGGAATTTTGAACTTCATAATTTCAAATAATAAATTTAAAACATTTTAAAAGGTCAAATATTAACATTTAAAAATTCTAGAAACTTCACATGGAGAAAAGCCACACCTACTTCATGGGAAAGGGAAGGAAGGAAGCACACACTTGCTTGCGCTTCCCTACCCATCGGGTCCCAATAGGTAGAGCGTTGCACGAGTGCAACAGGCACCCGCGAGGGATTTAGTTCACCTAGAGTGTTTTAGTAAGATTAAGATTTCTTGTAACATTGTACTATGATTCTTTGCGCTTGAAGACCAAACAACCATGCATTATTAACCAAAAGTTGGCATTAATCTCTCCATTGACTTTCCTCGAGTATAATTCTTGTCGTGGTTTGTATTAGTTTTGAACTAAAACCGTGACAAGAATTATGGAATGGAGGGAGTAAGTATGTGGTACCGCCCTTGGTTGCGTCCCGTCTAGAGTTATGTTTGTCTTCTCTTCATGATCTTGAGGATATTTTTGTTACCTTTTAAAAAGAAAGAGACAAGCTACATGCAAGTTGACGGAATTTGGTTATTGGGTCAGTCAACTGACCAAAAAATTCTATCAGTCGATTTGCTTGCAGATTCCTACTTGGTATAGTTTCTATTGGAGCATGTCACCCCGACCAGTTACTCCCACATGAATAGCTCCCGAGCTCACAACTTCTCGTGTTCTCATGTGTCATTATTGCATGCGCTGGTTTAGTGGAGTTAGCTTCGGTAGTAGTTAAATCATGGCCGCACCTACGTGTTCATGGGTCAGTATATATGTACACTTTGATTGACTGAATGCAAGTGCAATTCTAGTCTATTTCGTGTCCTTCCCTCTCACAGTTTCTATGTACTAGTTGCTCACTTCATCACCGAGTTATAGCTCAGGATACGTTGGACATTGACATTCATGCATAGGGATGTACTTGTTTTAGGCGTAGATCAGTGTAACACCCTCAGTATCATTCTATAGTAATCTCCCCTCTAATGATGTCATGTCATCATGTTTAGCAAGCTTCTTCAAACAGTAAAACTAAAATGTTCGCTTTATTCTATAAATTCTCCTGATCATTTTCATGATGGAACCAACTTCATTTGGCTCACAGATAAATCCCTAGGAAACTATAAAGTGATCCAACATCAACTAAAATAGCCTTTTTTTCAAAATATACAAATGTTTAAGTATTTACAAAACACTTGACATCTTTTGTGCTAGCTCAAAACATTGCCTATTATTTATGTGACAAGTTTCATGTTGAACAAAATTCAAATTGATATTTATTTTTAAATGCAAAACAATAAAGAAAATAGAAAAAAGAGAAAGGCTATTGTGCATTGGACCTAAGTGCACAGTGCACTCGGCCCAGCCCAACTTGGGTCTCCTCCCACCACCCGCTACAGTGGGAGGCAAGGGGCCGTGGCGGCCATCCATCGGCCAAGGCCACGCGTCGTCCATCCCCGTCGTCGCCGACGCCTACAAGGCTCCTCCCGCGACCCCCTGGAAACCCTAGCCTCCCCACCCCCTCTCTCTCCGGTCCGAGATCTCTCGAGCCGTCGCCGCGATCCCGCCGCCTAGATCCGCTGCTCCGGCGCCGCCCCGGCCTCCCCGAGAGTGTCCCCGCCCCTCCTCTCGGTGAGCCTAAGGGTTAGGAATCGTCTACCAACTAGATATACGAAGTGATGTCGATTAGATTGTCTCGGGTAGAGTAGAAGCTTGATTCAATGAGCTATAGTCTGCGTGTCTGGTGCTACAAACTCTATTATTTACATAGTAAAATCTTTTTTCTCTCTTATAAATGACTGTTAATTATTTCTCTTATCGATTTTTTTGGTTAAATCTTCTATCCATCATATTGTCTAGCTACCGACTCCCATTAACCCCCAAGAGTAAAATTCCAAGAAGTAGTGATAACTATTTGTAGCATAGGAGCACCCCAAAAATCGCTAATGAAGAAGAAAAAAGTCTAGAAGTGAAAATCACACATGGTTGTATTGGCAAGTTAAGGGATCACAGCACCCCACCTCTCCCGAGAGAGGAACACGGCTAATTGAGGTGCAGTCGCACCTTAGGCTAGGGACGAGATTGTTTTTCCTCTTTTGGGGCCAAGTTTTCATATTTACCGATTTCTATTACGTGAAATTTCATCTTAGGCAGTTTTGGAAATTATTGCACCAACTTTCGAAAAATCTTTGTTGGGCTTCTAATATTTGAAAATTTTGGGGGTTTCAGAACTTCACAATTTTTAAAATTTATAACTTCATGTTTTGAAAATCTAACTTTGGAATTTCAAAAAATAAATTTAAACTTTTTAAAAGGTCAAATATCTAAACATTTAAAAACTCTAGAAACCTCACATGGAGAAAAGCCACACCTACTTCATAGGAAAGGGAAGGAGGGAAGCACACACTTGCTTGGGCACCCGTACCCATCGGCTCCCAATAGGTAGAGCGTTGCACGAGTGCAACAGGCACCTGCCAGGGATTTAGTTCACCTAGAGTGTTTTGATAAGATTAAGATTTTTTTTGTAACATTGTACTATGAGTCTTTGCGCTTGAAGACCAAACAACCATGCCTTAACCAAAAAATGGCACTATCTCCTAATCTCTCCATTGACTTTCCTCGAGTGCAAGTGGTGTAATTCGAGCCCTCCGTTCCATAATTCTTGTCGTGGTTTTAGTTCAAATTATTGTTGTGGTTTTAGTTTTGAACTAAAATCATGACAAGAATTATGGAATGGAGGGAGTTAGTATGTGGTGCCGCCCTTGGTTGACTCCTGTCTAGACTTATGTTCGTCTTCTGTCAATGATCTTGAGGATATTTTTGTGGCTCAAGATCAAGAACCGCCATGCATGGTGGCGGCGCCAGCGGCAAGGGGAAGAAGAAGCACGACCATGGGGTGTCCAGATCTATTTCTTTGGACCCTTGTGCATGGCCCCTAGACCCGTACGTGTGCATGTGGTATGTAGCACATATCACATGAAGAATGGTTTTAATCCATTTTTTTCAAGGGTAGGATTAGAATGTTTAGTGTGATCCCCATCGGTTGTCGTATGACTCAAACAAGACCAATACAAAACCTTCGAGTCTTCAAAAAACTGACGCTTGTTTTTCTTTTTAGAGCGGGGGTCAACCATTCCTTACAAACCCATCAAGAGACCAAGGTCCTTTGATACACTTACTAGTTGAATTAGTCTCACTAACAACATTATCAACAACACCAAAATAGGGTGTAACTTCTAGAGGAAGAACAAGGCCCGCAACGCTTGGATCACAATCCGATGGTTAATAATCAAGTGACTCGAACTTTAAAAAAAATAGCCGCGTATGATGCATAGGTGGAAAAAGAAAATTGTTGTTAGTTCCTTGTTCTATGGTTTTGGAGAGTACTTATAGTTTGGTGATGCTACTATATATCATCTTGTCATTTGTGGACTCTTGCCATTGTTGCAAAACATTGAGATATCTTGTGACCTGCAAATCATCCTACCATGTCATTTTATTCGAAGCACTATAGTTATAAACCGGTATCTTGCATTGTTCTTCTAAACTCATCCCTCTTCATCTCCGGCTAGGGGAGGAATTTGGTATGACAAACTACAAAGTTGGTTTTTGCTGTTTGCTCCAAGTTGGGATAGTGGAACTTACCCAAATTTTTCTTTCAATAGTGCGTCCTAGGAGACAGACCAGAAAAATTCACTTGATTTTTATAAAGGGTGAATTTTATTTACTCAAAATGAAGCATCAAATGGACACCGAAACAATGAGCATACACCCAGACTCCACATAGCTGGATGCACACAGTTAACACCAACCCATAGAAAAAATATCCGCAAATAGCAAGGTCATATAGGACCAAAAGTATGCCTAAGCGAGGAAAAAGAAAACCGTGAAGTATCAAATCCGACAAACTACAAAAATGATCATATCTGCATCAACCATCTCATGACACCACAAGGACAATGAGGTTATTCAGCAACAACACCTTCAGAAGAAAGCTACACTCGAATCATCGTCATCACTGGATTGAACCCCCAAAGAACATAATCAAAGTTTCACCCTAAAAAACTAGTCCGAGCATATCCGATCAATGTTTTCAACAAAGTATTGACCCTTCTTGATAAAAGCAAGAGAGAATCATCTTCATTTTCATTTTTCCGAAGGTACTTCATTTTCTGAAATTT